TTTTTTTATGTATCAGGGCTCACTTTCCTTTAGAGCGAAAAAGTTGCGAATTTTTCCTCGTTCACTTTTTCTGAGCGTCATCTGAACGCTTTCAAGTCTGCAGTTAGCAATGATCAGTCAATTCCCGCGGTCTAGGACTTGTGTCATCCAAATTGCAGGAGTTCGATCCTCGCCGTTTTCGGCTTTCCTCCGCTGGTCACAAGTTTCCTGTGGTCAGAATGCCCCAATGCATAGTACATTTAATACTTTTACTAGCTAGATTTAAGTAGCATATAATTTCTTGATTTTTGGACATTGGCAGCAGAAGTGCATTCCTTCTCATAGGTGCACGGCAAGCGCTGCAATGTGCTTTACTGGGTCGACTCCTTTTTTGCAAACTTCCAAGTCTGGCTTTTTGCTCGTTTTCCCAAGTTACTCTTATACTTTCTCATTACAGCTTGGCAACCTGCGGGGATTCCTCGTCGACCTGGGCCGCAATTTGGAGATGACCAAGGAGTGCTTCTTCTCGGTTGCAAACATCGTTAAACAGGCCATCAGCGATCACGGGGTAACATTTGACTGCATACCTATTAAATATTTCGTCCTCTTTACTCCCTAGTCTAGAAGCTTGTTATGCTTTTTATATGTCCACCAATGCTAGCGTCTCTACACACAAACGCATGCTGTATTGATTCGCTTTGTGCACTTGTGCTCTTGCACTGTGTGTTTTCCAGCCGACTGCTCTATCCAGGATAAGGCGATGCGCAATAGCCTCCCTTTCGCATGCTGAAGGCTCTGAATTGTATTGCCAGTACCGTCACTCAAATTTCCTGTTCAACAAGAATGTTCGTAGTTTTTGACTCACTGCGCCCTAGTACAAACCGCGTCGCCGTTGAGTCGCAGTCTCGTTTATCTCTCCGAGTCCTTATCCTCATCCCGCTCTCCAAGTCTACAATTTATTTTCCTATTTATTCCTTCTGGCTTCCCCCCTGTTGGTAAATTTTAATATCTCTTCCTTTTTTTCTTCCAGTCTTTTTAACTGCTCACCGTGGCTGAATATTTGGTATCCGTTTTCTTCTATTTTCTCCAGACCCCCAAAGACGAAGATGAAAGAAAGCCGTCGGCATCAAACGAAGGCAACGAGGAGGCCTCACATGTTAATCCAGGTGTGTTGTATGACCTTCCAATAGCCTATTTAGGGTTTTTTTTTCATCGAAAGATTTTGAGTAAATTTTTTTCCTATCGAACAGCCCTGTTTTTAACGTGCTTTCCCGAAAACAATAGTATCTTTTTACCGGGCGCTCTTACCCGGCAACTTCGCCAAATTTTTAAACCAGATACATGGTTTGTTTTACTACTGGTTTGATCTGACACAGTCATCTACTAGTAGGCTGTAGTATGTTGTAGCGATGAATGGCATCCGACCGTCAGATCTTTGATTTGAAACATCGTTTCCCAGGTACAAATTTGAAGACAGCGTATGTAGCAG